AATATGAAACTGTTTAACATCTCATTCCTAAGGTAGAATGTGGTTAAAGAAGGAATCATCCACACAACCTACAGATTTGTTGGTCCAGCAGCTGCAATTCTAAAGAGTTCCCAGATAAGCTGATTGCCTAGATTGTTATGGACCACAAGTAGATTAAATAGACAGCTATAGAAGAGCAAAGAGAAAAATTCCAGGGAAAGAGCTGAAGCAGCGTGATGAAGCAATCCTCACCGTAGTTTTGTCCACTTTCCTATGTGCTTTCTTTCCCTTCTCCACAAAAAACAGCATCCACTTCATTTCTTTCCTCAGCTTGCCTCTCTCCATCTGGTACCAGATTCAGAATTCCCTAAGGTCACTCCAAACCACCCCTGAATTTCACCCAGGGAGCTGCTGTGCAGGAGCCCAGGACATCCCAAACCAGAAACCTGTGGCACAAGAGAGCTGCTGGATATCTGGGGAAACTCTTCTGTGCTTCTCCTTGCCCCATGATATTCATCCCTGCCATCCCCTTTATGCCCAACACTAAAACTCAAGCAACTTCTATGATAGTAACTTTTTGTAAGGTTTCAAGACACTGGCTCTCCTTACCTTTACAATGACCATTAAAGGCTGAGAATTTGGTTTGGCAGTAGCAAATCACAAACAAAACTGGACTGCTTTGACTGGACAGAACAACAAGCTAATTGCAAGTGTCTTCCTTTGTACCTCACCATTGCGTGCTCATATGCTATAAAGGCTTTTGTCTTAAACAAAGCAGATATAGTACAGTGGTACCATCTTCTATGACGGTATATTTACAAAAAACAGATTTTACCATCACTCTACAACAACACAAACCCCCACAGTTAAGAGCACGCAATTCCTGTTCTAGGTACATGCAGAAAACTACATTTCAGTGAAAACATAGAGGTGACATCGAATGCAGGAGGAGAAGTATCAGGATTTTTTCCAGTAAATCACACTATTTACTACACACTATGTGAAAAAGACCTTTTCAACAAATAAAACTATATGTATTCTATGAAACCACACCACTGAGTTTAACATACCAGAGGAAAAAAAAAAAGAGAAGCTTGTAATGTGAGGTTTGTTATACCTGTGGCCTACATTTTCATCACAACCTTTAACATTTATTCTAAGTAAGGCAAGGCACACTTTCAAAGGTTTGGACTAGAGAAAGTAAAGCTGGTCCTCTGGCACGTAGATTAGCCTATAAAGACATAGGGTTGCCAGTTCTACCTGATGACTTAAGAGGAACGGTCAACTTCATTTTACAGCCCATGTGTGCAGACTGGTAAACCACCATGCAAAGCAGCTGCAATGATCAGAAGCCTCTGTTCCAGGAAGGCAAAGATCAACAGTTTTATGAAGCTGTTTGCACAACACGTGGTTACTTACACACAGCTTTAAGTAAAGGTTTAAGTACCCTTTAATTAAAAAAAAATAGGTTCAGAATATTTGAGTTGAGGTTTTTATTCTTTTTCTTTTTCCTTCCAACTATAAGCATGTGCACAGCCCCGCTACCCCCTAAACTATTCAGTGAGAAAGCAAAACCAATAACCTCAAAACTTCCAGAAGTCTTTACTTCAGAAAAGATCACCAATTTCAAATACCCTGTTATGACTGATATCCAGAGCAAAAATGTTCCTTGTACAGAGGGAAACATTCATTTTATCTGGCTATTGCATGCCAGCTGCATAAGGTTTGTAAGAGGAGGTATGTCTGTTATACAGAATGAGGAACAGTTCCTTTAAAATCATTATATTTATAAGCAGAACAGGGATTGAAACATTTCCTTAACTAGGAAGAATAAAGGGTTTTCTGGTTTTCTCAAGCCAAGTTCAATGCTTCATCCTGAGTTTCGAAAAAAGAGAATGCATACAACTCAAAAGAGAATAACTAGGAAAATAAGCGTTTTGTGTGACTTATCTTGCTGCCAGTAATCCAAAGCACACTTCAAACCTCTCATGTACCTTGAATTCCCCCCAAAACTCTTGATTTCGCGTGTGCATGTCTTATGTATTCAAAACAATCTCCCTTTAAGCTAACTGCTAGGGAGAAAAAGAGGAGAAAAAGGAAATTCAGTCAATATGTATCTTTTAGTCTGAGCTCCTGTGGACCAGAACTCTATTAAACACCAATCAGAACTATTTAACTACCAAGAGATGTGGAGAGAAGAGTTGCAGTAGTCTAAAAGCCTTTGCTGCACTTTCTAAACTCTGTCCTGTTGGATTTAGTTTCAGCTAAACCCTACCACAGTTTCTTTCAGCTGCAGTTAACTGGTGTAGGAGTAAGTACAACATCCACAATAGTTTCACCACTAAATTGTTACGCACTCCAACTTAACCCAAAATTTAATTTCTATCCAAGAACTGATAACACTGGTAAATTCACTTACAGGAACTGCTGTATTTTGTGCTAGCATTCAGTATCAGGAAATGAACATTCCTTCCTTACTTTGCAATTTGTTTTCTGCATGAACAATCCAAATAATAACAAGATTTGCAATGTGTTCTTGGATTATAGCACTCAGCAGGGACGCTTTGGTTTGGTATTAACAATCATTACAGTCTCAATTTCCTTCAAATCAATGGTGCCCTCACTGCTTATGAAATCTGATGTTCAGCATTTCTGCCACTTATTTACATTTCAGATTTTGTTCAGACTGAAGTAGAAAGATCACTGCATCAGTCTCAACACTTGTCCCAGCTCTTCATTCTCTGAAGCCTCTGTGCTCTGTGTACTTAACAAATTACACTGTACTGCAAAAAATACTTTTCCTTCCTTCACTTCCTCTCAATTAAGAAAGAAGAAATCTCAAGTTTTGGGCTGAGTGTCACTTGAGAGAAATGAAAACACAACTGTCCTTTGCATTTCATTCTTCTCACGTGTGTGTTATACTTAATACTACTGCTAAACTGAAATAATGCTTGGTCCTTACACGTTAAGCTTCATCTTCAAATTACATGGTATTTCTTACGCTACCCTCTGCAAAATTGCTGTGATCCAGCTTTACACTTGTTTTTTGTTTTACAGATACAGGAACCAAGGTGAGAAACACCCACAAGCACAAAGTACCAGGTAATTAGAACAGATAAACCAGACGCAGCGCTGTATGAGCTGACTCACACAAGATGCAGTACAGCTACATCTTTCCTGGTCTCATTTTACCACTTCCTTTTTCCTTTTCACACAGGATCCGAGATGTCTTTAGCATTGACAATTCATTCGTCATAAGAGATCAGATAAAAGGAACAATAAAAATGCAGTGGGTAGCTATAACATTACCTAAGCACATGTCAAATATTTTACCCAATAAGGGTTGTAATCTCCAACTCTTGAACTTGGTCATTTATTACATACGCGCAAAAAACCCCAAAAGAAGAAGAAAATTCCAGTGCACATAACAATAGATTGGTCAATTGACAGAACTACTTGGACCTATGCTGAGCAACGAAACTGAAATTACCATCCTTTTACTCTAATTTACGTATCAAATGCATTTTGTCCTTACCAATCTAATTCCTGTTGCTACATTAAATTATACTTGAAACGGAAGCAAAGTTCTCTTCTTGATTTAAGAATAATTCAATTAAATCTTATTTGGGTTGACAGAAATGTTTCCTTTTTTAAAATACAAGGTTCCTGCTGTCATGAATTCTCCACTTCAGGATTACAATCTGGGGTGATTTATGCAAATTCTCCAAATTTCTCTGCATGATATATGCTTTCTTTTGGTAGGGGTTCACAAATTGGATTTTATATGTCAAATACTGAAAAGGGAAAACTGAAACAGGTCAGTGTTTTAAATGTGATTGATTTCTTCAAAGGAAATGGGTGACATGATGCATTACTGCAATAAGATACTCATATTCCTGTTATAAATCATAGGCTTCCGCTAGGCCTTTTTCAACGGGAAGTCATGCAAAACTATCTTGAACTGCTGCAATAGGAACTTTCCATAAAAACTTTCTTTCTCTCTCTTATAATATGTTATTTTTCCCTCAATTTGCCTTGACAGATGGACTTCAGGCATGCCTGTTACTTTTGAAGAAACATTCAAGTCTAGAAGGTATTATTGGGAAGCCACTTTTTTTTTTGCCCAGTGAGAAAAACTGTAGGGTTTGAAATGCTTCACAACTGCCAGATTATGGCTGGTATCATTAAAAAGTGTAATACATGACAACCTTGATTTGGATTACTGAGTAGATGTGCTTAAAAAATAAACCAACAGTCTTCTCTTGCCCACCAAACCTCACATTCTTACTTTTTTACCTTACCAGTGATGACCAGTAGTCTTTCTGTGCTACAAACAGTCAAAAGGGCATTAAATTCAAGGAACACGTAAGGATGTGCAACAGTGGATGCAATCTCTTCTTATAAATAGCCCAGAAAGCATATTCTGAAGGAACATTAGCTAATGACCAGCATCACCTAATGATGCTCAGTCATTTGTTAAGTCCCGACTTACAGCTCTATTATCAAAAAGGGGTGATAAAGAACCATAAGGGACAATTCTGTTATACAACACAAACAACAACAAAGGGAGTCTGGGGAAGAACACCCAGCTTGCCAGGTTTATAGACTACTTTTACAGATAAAATGTTAAAACAAATGCTATTAAAAACTATATGCACATTTTTGCTTCAGCTGAGGAATGTATCTGCAACCATTTTAGCTGTGTCCACCACAAATACTCTGATATGGTACCAAAATGTTAGGAGTCATCTGAAAATGGATATATATATATATGCGAGTTGAGGACTGCAGAAAAATGTTTTAGTGAAGGACCTAAGCTTCACTGCTTATACTACCCCATACAAATTCCCATATTCACATTAACCTAGATCAACTGTTTATTCTAACCAGCATTGCAGCAGCATACTCTTCACATTCTTTTCACACAGTGAAAGGAGCTTTTCTTAATTAATAAAAATGACATGGGAGCAAGGTTTGTCATAAAGAAAAGCTCCTTAACAGGTTTCCCTTGCACTTCTCACCTTAGCAGCTGGAACTGCAGAGATGATAACTCTTTCCTTTGTATTAGCCTAAGTGTCGCTTGCTGAATATCAGAAGAAAATAGCCAACTTCTGTCATTCGAACAAGGAGCATCAACTAGTACCTATACAACAAATAAGAGCAAATAAGACAATTCACAATACAGATACTTTCTGTACACAATACAGAACACTGTATGCAAAAAAAATCTACTCAACATACTTTTTCACTTAGAATACCCTTTCAATTTTCTTGTTTCTTAGAGGCAGAAATAATTACTATTTTGAAATGTTTTTATGAGGTTATTCAAGGGAAATAAAAGATTACTGCTCAAGAAGTACCCTCTATCTGAACAGCTCTCACTTGCTTGCTCCCCTCTTCATAATTACACATCATGGGAAGAACATAGCTACAAGGTCTTCAGAATTCGCTACCACGGCCAAATGGGTGACATCATCTAACAGGTGATTAAATGCACAACATACTTCATAAGGTAATTCCTGAGGCTCTGCACATCCTCCTGTATGTGACATTGGTTCCCTTTGATAGGTCAGATATTTGGAGAGCAGGGACGAGGGCAGAAAAAAGAATTAAAGAGAGAGCAGCATAGGAAGAAAAAAAAGCAGCAGAATGCAGAAACATAATTTGCAAATAAATAGTATTGTTACCTTATCATATAATTCAGGCTTAAGATCTCCAATCTGTCTACCATCCAGTTTAGAGACCATTATCAAGTTAGCCAAAGGCTCTGGGATGAAGGATTCTATTGTCTCTTTCAACCATCTGGACCTCAAATCATCATATTCATTACAGTGAAACTGACCTTAGAAAAGAATAAAAAAAAAGTAAACACCCTAAAATAAGTCTTTATATTTGGTTGTTTGGATTTGGGTTTTTTTTCCCCAAATATAAGGAGTTATATCAATTTCAGAAGTTCTGCTGTTTTGCCATGATTGCCATAGAGTTTACACCTTCTGTTTATGCTACTGCACATTTAGAACACCGCTGAAATATTATAAGCCCGACCAAATTTCCACATGCTCCTAACAAAGGCATCCATAAATATTTACTAGCAAATACTTGCTGTAGCAATAGACTTCCCTAGTAAAACTAACTTTAAACGCGATCCATACCTAAAGACTAGTGCTAAGCGAGTGCCCTTCTATGCTCCTTGAGTGATTGTCTAAAAGGAGTACATGCCCCTTATTGTCTTTTAAATAAATAAAAGATCAGTTTTGTGTATCCTAAGTTGAGCAGCCCAACCCCTTATTTATTTGACATTTAGGCTAGACATTTTTTAGCAAAAGCCTTCTGGTTGCACTTATTTTAACAATGTAGCCAGAGTAGTTACCTCTTCAGAAGAGGAAACCCTGCTCTTGCTTGTACCCAGAACAGAAGTACAGCAAGGTATTTTTTCCTCTCAGTCCTGTCTCCTAATCTAATAATATTTCTATTGTCATGTCTCCACACGTTGTCCACACCATGTTTGCCACACAGAGTAAGGTACATCTTAGCATTCACTGATTGTTGAGAGCGCTTTCTTACACCTTATGTTCTCAGCAACAACTTGTATCTATCCTCAGAAGCAGCCATGGGATGAAAGTGTGGGGTTTTTCCCCAAACCTTTTGAAAGGGCAATCTATATTTAAATTATCTTAATGGCATCACCTCATGCCTCTGGAAGAGGGAGAACCAGCTGTAATTAACAAGTGCAGGTAGTTATAGTGATGGCCTCAGCAGTAAGAACATAAGGCGCTGTGAACATCCTGAGACAATTACTATCCAAGCTAATGTATAAACTTGGAAACACCAATCACAGATTGCTTTTACTCCCTGGCCTGGAAGAACTGAGCTGCTGCTTGCTGTTGCCTTCCAAACACTGTGATTATCTTAGTGCTCTTCTGCAACACCTAGGTGGATTGAGACACGGAGCTTACTAAATACCAATACAGAACAATTCCTCGTCACAAGCTTTTGCAGTAGCACGTTTAAATTGTTATGCTCCATTTTACATCAGTACGCTTACAGGTTTACTAATACTATTTGCATAGCACTGGCTAGAGAGGTAGATTGCAGATTACTTGCCTCCCTGTGCCAACAAGTCTGCATGATTTTAAGTAACTTCTTGACAAGTAACAATAAGGGAACCAGTGGAGGAAGAAAAACGTAGAGCTATTCCACTTTTGTCTGTTTGTCTGCAGCAACCTGTATTTAAATAACTAATGTAAACAGACTTAAATAACTAAACAGACTTCATAAAAACCTTGCTAAAGAGCATGGAACTACTTGGAATATACATTGGTTGGGATTTTGATCCCAGAGCAAATCTTGCACAGAAAACAGGCACAACTGAAATAGCCCAGGCACAGAGCCAGGGATTGGTTTCTAACAGCACCTTGATACACTACCTGGACAGGCACACTGCAGTATAGATACTGATTTACCCCCTGGTGCAGCACAGAGATCCAAAACATCTTCTCCATCTTTCACTTCTAATGCCAACACTGGCAACAGCGAAGCAGCATTCAGCAGATAATACTCCTTGAGTTTCCCAGCCTGATGTTTCTGTGCAGGGTATCTCCCAGGAGTTCTCCTAATGTAACACTTCAATGAGGATGGAAGATAGGGCAAACTTCCATGAAAGGCAGGATGATATCCCTTCACAGCCAAGGTGCTCTCCAGTTCCAGGGAATGGCAGAACTTGTTGAGCAGAACCGCGTACTGCCAGCACAATGGGTACGTGAGCACATCTCTAGATTGGAGAAAGAAAAAGCTATTTAATAACTTGACAGATAAAATGAGCTTTCCACAGTGTAGGAAGCCTCTCCTTACCAAGGGTAACAACCTCATCATTGGATCATTCTGGTATAATAAAAAGGAAACATTTTGATTAGGTATGATTAAGAAACGCATGCAGGAAAATAGTTCTAATAGGAAATCAAGCCAGCGTTTCCCTTGATGACTGCACTTAAAGAACTAACTTGTCCTGAAATAATATGTTCGCTATTTTCCCCTAATTCTTTAACAAATGATTGTAGAAGCATAATGCTCTTTCTGACTATAAAGTACTTCCCTCAGTTCAAAGAACAACCGTAATATTAGTTGTAAAATTCACAACAAAAAGAATCACATTGGCTCTGCAATGGTTATTCCAGCCAACACCATAAGATGCAGGTTTTACAAGTGTTCTTTTCTAAATTTCCTTTTCTATTCTGAAAACATCTGGCCAGAAAAACCTAAACAAATAGATATTTCTGGAAGAGAGCCAAAAAAGCAGTGCTTATATGGTAGGAATATATTGTTTGTATTTCAGTTCTATTTTTCAGGCCTTTATCATGTGAATTTCCTCCATTTTCTATTTGAATTCCTCTCAGTACTTTTTTTTCCCCATTTATCCTCAAAAAACACTCCTCAGGACTATTCACTGCCTAAAAGAGAAACACACATTGACCCAACCTTAAAAAGTTTTTAAGTTAATTCACTTAAACGAATCTTATACATCTATTTAAAAATAAAACCAAACCAAAACAACAGAGACACTTATTTTAAACTACTTTTTAATCCAAAGAGGCTAAACCAGAGAGGGCAGTCAGAGGAACCACATGGTTTCTACGACTCTGAACATGTAAAATGCTTTTCCACTCAGAGTCACTGTGGCTCTGACCACAACAGCAGCTTTTGTACAAGCCCACTGAAAAGTATGTAAGCTAAGCAGTAACTTCTCCAGAAGGGTTCTTCTGCTGTTGTTCCCATGGGTAATAACCACCAGTCAGCAGGGAAGGGCACACATCTCCTCTCAATACCACAGCCCATTCTATAGCAGACTCTGTGTGATCAAGGCCCAAATCAGGTGATGGCCTTTTCTGTACACGTTGTTAATGATCAGCTGCTTCTAAGGAAATAAATCAGGGAATTTGTATTTATAGGAATTATCTCCTACCATCTTTGTCCCAGTCTCTCTAGATACTATAAAGCTGTAGAAAAAACTCAAAACCAAACCTAACAGCAGCTGTTAGGGTATATAAAGGGATGCTTTTTGGACCCTGTTGTTACAAGCAGTCAAGTATATATACTTATATTATATATATATAAAGTATATAAAGGGATGCTTTTTGGACTCTGTTGTTACAAGCAGTCAACACATACGTAAGACGTCAGTCTCCTTGTAGTGTATATGCATACAGGAGAACAAAAATATCACACCACAAGAATAATGTCCAGGAAAAAAAAACTTAAAATTTCCAAGTTTTAATCCTGTGCTATTTCACACTCTGATGCTAGTTCTAAACTGAAAATAAACTGAAGCAGCTGCTACAGCCCATGGCTCTTTTCAAAGCTACTTTAAGAAGCGCTTGAAAAAGTAACAGAACCTCTCCCCTCCCTCCTCCTTCTCCCCAGAACAACAGACCTGATGCTGGCCCAGGCATCTCCCAGTTCTGCTGTGTACTGCTCCTCAAAATGATCCAGGACAACTTGACAGATCTGCTTCTGAGGTTTCCCTTTTGTTTTACTTTCCACCTTCAGAGAAGGGAGGAAAAAATAAAGGCAATAAAACCAAATGAAACCCTCCCTAGTTCATACCAGAATTGCTAGAAGAACATTTTAGGCATTTAAATTCATTTAGTACCCATGGTATTAGGATGCTCAAATACCAAGGTGACGTCACACATACAATCAAGACATAACAGAAGTTTCAGAGAACAAGTTATTGTTCTCTCTTCTTCCCTATGTCCAACGAGGTCATTCAAAGCTTGTCGATACTACTCCTTCTCAGTACCCAATATGCTAACAATACAGTGGTTGCTGGGACTCTGACACACCAGGAGCAAAAGAAGCAAGGCATAATCATGCCCATGCACTATAATCATCCCTGACAAGATGCACCCATGTGCTTAACTAAAAGAAAGACGTTAACGTGAATCGTTGTGGAAGTCAGGTGGCGGTAGCCGAGTGCAAAGCACTGCAATAACTAATACATGCCAGGAGTAAGGGGGGGGGGGGGGAATGGACTATACATACATATATATTTAGACGATGAAAACTTAATTTGAGGGGGGAGGAAAAGAAGTTTCGGTTTCCAAGCAATTTTGTGTTCAAAAGGAAGACCCCAAAGCTGCCTCCCCCCCCCCTCCCCCCAATGCTTTCCCTGCTCCCCGTCCCGCCCAGCGCCGCTCCCCTCAGAGCACGAACACCGCAGAGCAGCCCCGAGCCGCTTCTGCTGTCTCTTCCTTTCTCAACCGACCACCGCAGCTCATGTGCGGGGCTGATGTTCCCCTCTCCAACACCGAGCACCTCCCGCAGGGGAGGGCCGCGCTGCCCCAGCCGGCGCCGAACGCAGGACGGGGACAGAGGAGCCCTCGAAACCCACAGAGGTAACCACCGGGCGGGACACCACCGCGGCCAGGCCATCCCCTCCTCCGGCCGCTAACACCACCACTGCACCCTGGCAAGCTTCGCTCTCAGCCCACAGCAGGAACCTCGGCTCCGCCCAGGGAGAGGAGGGAAGGGGAGGCCGCTGCCTCACCCGGCTCTCCCCGGGGCTGGCGTACGGCTCCGACCCCGCCGAAAGGCGCCCGCCCCGGGACGCGCAAGAAGGGGCCGAGCGCCCCAAGCTTCCGTCCCTCCCTCCCGCCCGGCTTCCGGCTCCCGGCCCGCGCCTCACCTGCCCCGCTGCCCGCACAGCCGCTCGCCTCGGCGGGAGGCCGGCCCCGGCCCGTTGGTAGAGTGACAGCAACCGGGCCGCCGCCCGCTGCAGCCTCATGGCCGGAGCCGGGGCATGGAGGGGAAGTCGGTGGTGGGGCCGGGGCGCCGCCTGGCGGCTGAGGGAGGGCAGCTCCGCTTGTCCCGTCCCGTCCCTCCGTGGAGGTGCAGCGCTCTGTCTGAGGTTGTTGAGTTTGGTTTCTTTATTGCGGCGGGAATAGAGCAGCAGCTGCAGCCGTGATTAATCAGCTTCCTCCCCGAGCAGCTGGAGGTGCTGCTGCCGTCCTCACGGCGAATGGCTTTTCACCACTGATGGCGAGCCCACGTTTACACAGACTTCGCTATTCGGACTCCTCTGAACCACCCTTGAGCGTAAGCTGTGGCTTAACCTGCTGCTGTTGCAAAGAGATAGAGACCCGAGAATCATTCACACAAATTCCAGTATCTGAAGGGGGCCTGTAAGGCTGCTGGGGAGGGACTCTTCATTAGGGACTGTAGCGATGGGACAAGGGGTAAGGGGTTAAAACTTAAACAGGGGAAGTTTAGATTGGATATAAGGAAGTTTTTTACTGTAAGGGTGCTGAGGCACTGGAATGGGTTGCCCAGGGAGGTTGTGAATGCTCCATCCCTGGTGGTGTTCAAGGCCAGGTTGGACAGAGCCTTGTGTGACATGGTTTAGTGTGAGGTGTCCCTGCCCATGGCAGCGGGGTTGAAACTGGATGATCTGAAGGTCCTTTCCAACCCTAACTATTCTATGACTCTATGATTAAATGTCTTACACATGTGTTCAGAGAACACATTCCCTGTGAACATTAAACAGGAGAACCACCAGAGCCCAGTTCACCAACTGTAACTGGCTTAGCAGTGCTAGAATCTGAGGCTGCTGATGTGCTGGGGCAGTTCCTCCTCTGATCACACAGAATCACAGAATACTTAGGGTTGGAAAGGACCTTAAGATCATCCATGGGCAGGGACACCTCACACTAAACCATGGCACCCAAGGCTCTGTCCAATCTGGCCTTGAACACCGCCAGGGATGGAGCATTCACAGCCTCCCTGGGCAACCCATTCCAGTGCCTCACCACCCTCACAGTAAAGAACTTCTTCCTTATATCCAATCTAAACTTGCCCTGTTTAAGTTTGAGCCTGTTACCCCTTGTCCTATCACTACAGTCCCTAATGAAGAGTCCCTCCCCAGCATCCCTATAGGCCCCCTTCAGATATTGGAAGGCTGCTATGCCCATTGGGATTTTTCAACCCGTCCAGCAAGAGCAACCCCTTGTTTAGCAGTGGTTTTGATTAAAGTCTGCCCATGCAGCTTCCACCTGGTGAAACTGGCCTCTGAAATCCAGGCTGGAAAGGGGTGCAAAGGTAAAGGCAGGAGTGCAATCGTACAGATAAATATTTGAGTTTCAGGCACTGACTAATGAAGACTTAAGGACATTTATGCAAACCTTGTGCAAATGACCATCAAACTTGAAAGCTTATTTGGAATGTTTCAATCAGGATCCTGACAAAAAGCCAGGAATACAATGGAGGCCTCTTAGGTATCAAATGTGAAAGGATAGCAGAAAGGCTTTTTATTAAATGAGTTGTACCAACAGACACAGAACAAAACTGGTATTAAAAGTACAGTTCTCTGTGGCTGTAATTCTGCCGACACCAGTGACATACAAGAAAATACATACAATACTTGACTTTTCCTATACCCATATGTCACGACCTGAAAGGAGGCTTATCAGCTTTGAACAAAGGGGTCACAACTATCCTGTCTACGCAGTGTTTAGAGCCAACATCCTTATTGTTTGCTTCGTGTGTGCTAATTCTTGCAAGGCCTCCTATGGTAGAATGTAAATGGTGCCTGAGACAAGCTCAGTTTCCTGGCTCTCACACTACACAATGTAAGCCATGTTTAAGACAAACTCAATGTCCAGGCTGTCACGCAATAAAACAAAGAAGTACATTGAATGAGCCACCTTGCCCTGAGTCTAGGGTTATATTCCACTTGTAGATGGTGCCATTGGTGTTGTTTAATGCATCTGAAACCAGTAAGATTTGCAATGTATCAGAAGATAGGACTTCACGTACGTGGCTTGTTCACTACCAACATCCCCATCACAAACAGGTGAACTGCAACAGCACAGTAAAAATGCAACTGAGAACCTGCCTCGTGTGCTACTGAAGAGATGGATTGGCTCAGTGGGGATTAACCAGTACATTTTGAAAGGCAGGCTGCTGTTCTTCTTAATAAAAACCAACCCAAACCAATGTGATATCTGTCACCTAAGCAGCTACCCTTGCCATGCTGAGTGACCATGTACATCCCTGGGTGCCCTGTTAGATCTCAAACAGTGAGCTGTGAAATTCGTTATCTCCAGAACTCCTCTATGACCTCAGTGCACAGCTCGTTCAAGCTAACACATTTCCTTTAAACACAAGTTACCTTATTTCAAGCTTGTGTTTCCTAAGCATGTCCAGGCCTTCAGGAAAACAAAGGAAGAGGACACGGTGTATGCCCTGTTGTCTCCTCAGAGTGGACGATGGCTGAAATGTCTTGAATAACAAGTCAACATTCAGAAGTAACACCAAGTGCATCAACATCCTCCAAGCCTAGGGAACAGGAAAGCCAGGCCACTACTGTGACTTCCACTGTTCAGTTTCCGGTGTCCACAATTTCTGGAGCAAGCAGCAATCGAGTCTATGCTATTATTATATAGTAATTTAGGAATACACAGGCAAACAATATTCACCTTGTTTGTTCTATTAGGACAGACTTAGAAAAAGCTTGCTAGGTTTCAGGGAGATCAAAGTCATGGATGGTATGACTTGTAGGATACACAATATGTAGATTAGAAGATCATGTAAATTAATGCTACTGGCATTAAGTACTCTTTGGGAAACTTTTTAAGGACCATAAGTTTTAGGACACTTTTGCAGTAGCAAATGCAAACATGACTAAGCTTCTGTTTGAGGTCTGCAAAATCTACTGCCTTCTGAAGAAAATGTGTATATGTATGTATATACTCCAAAATCTCCTTCTTCAGGCCTTCAGTCTATTATCCAGTAGCTTACCAGTGCATTGTTATTTCAGTAGCACAGCTCAGGTAAGCGTGAAGCCCTCCCCATCTTGTGCTCCTCCTCACTGGCAGAGCACTGAAAAGTCCTTGACTTCAGGTAAGCACTGCTTGGCAATGAGAACATTGGAGGTTATCAACATGATGTTCATAATAAATTGAAAACACAGCATTGTACCAGCTAAGATTATCTCAGCTAAAACCACAACAGTATAATGAAAGTCTTAATCTCAGGCTTATGGGTTTGAGCCCCACATTAAACTCCACTTGGCTTTGTTGGTCTTCACACATACTTTGCTTGATGCAAAGATTTCTTATCTCATTACTCATCCTCACTCAAGATTGTCCTCTCTCAATCTTTCTGCTAGTCCAATGGGAAGAGAATTCACAGTGATCTTAAGTTCATATTCGCTGGGGAGTATACAAAAATTGCTAACCATTCCACCATCCACTTTCCTAAAGTCTTCTGGAAAGCACAGATTTTGTTACCATAAAACAGTTGCCAAAGCAATCCTAAGTAAGAAAATACAGCTTATGTAAACAGCAGGGGGATAAAATGGGGGAAAAAAAAACCAATCAACAAAACAAAACCTGCACAAAACCAACCAGACAAGAGAAAGATTCTTCTATCCAAAGATAAACTTGTCTCAGATTACACTTACTTTAAGAATATGGTTCCTCACTCCATTTACAGATGCATCTATTGATGTAAATATAGTATGTAAGTTGAATGAATTCCAGAAGCCAGGAAGCTAAATGGACAGCACGGCAATGTAAGTTATTCTGAACTTACAGTACTAAGCTTTCAAATAAAGTACTAGAACACCTCAGTGGATAAATACTGCTTGAATGTTATCTAAAGGGGGGGAAAAAGCACCTATGCTGCTTGCTTTGTTACTGGCCATCAATCTTTTCTAATATGACATCATTATTTCCAGAAACAACTGTTCTCAGGATATAGACTGGTTTCTTACTGGAGAAGAAAATTGTCATGAGACCACTTCTGGCAACCTTATTTCAAAAGTAATCTCAAAGAGCAAACTTGACAAATCCATTTTCAGGTGTCACATAGGCCCCTAGAGGATAGAGCTATGGTACTTAAGAGTTTCAAGGAAAGGATAATCACCACCACCTTTATAAAGCTCATATGGAGTCCACAGCCCAGAAGGTGAGCAATACCAAGGGCTCAAATCCTCTTGCACAGGGCTTCCATGGCTACACTGATAGCCAACAGGGTGATGGATGTGCTTGAGGGTTGCCTATTACACAGGCCTCGCTGTGGGTGTCCTCTGCTGCTTCCATCTTGCTCCTTGTAACCAGGGCTCACAAGAGGGGCATTAGAAAGCTGGCACCAGCTGTCTACTGCACGTACTTGTTCTAAGGCTTTCTAATTCTCCATCAGGACTGTGGAATTGAAATAGAATCACAAGATTATCAAACAGCTTCCTCTAAAATCATAGCGCTTTTGTCTCACCTCAATGAGTGCCCCTCACTGTGCATGATTTACATGGAGAGACCACGTCACAGATGTGAAGCTAAACCTAATGGATAATAATACAAATATGACCACATTGCAGTTGTAAAAACATGTAAAGATTCTCTCTATAAGATCTCCATTTGGTACATTTTAGCAACGTAAATGAGACTTGCAGCTATTAAACATTTATGACCAGACTTGCTTCCAAAAAACTGAATTTATGCTCATGTGGGAAACATGCTGACACTGTGCATTAGTGTTATTCTATATATAAATGTCTTGAGCAAATAAAAAGTCAAGGTAGTATAAATTGCTGAAAAAAAACCCACTCTGGGTATGCCATTATAGAGCATATTAATAAAATCTTTGAGTACTTTGGTCGTATATTGGTACCATTTATTTTAAAAGCTGAAACAAACCCGATACACGTGTCCGCACACACACCACACATAACACAGTTTCACATGTAAGTATCAACACCTTACATTTCAGTTTCTCGTATTTTGTTGCCACAGCAGTATTTAGCTTTAGGTTTTTAATAAAGACTTCCATTAATTTATTTTTGGTACGTGTTAAAAGAAAAGGGTAATACAGTTCTAGAAACTGGAGCTGTTAAATATATATATATATATACACAAGCCTGACAAAATAAAGCTGTTATGCCAAAAAAATGAAGTGGAAACATAGCTAAAGAGTAAGATTGAGATTGCACACATAAACTTTTATGGTGTCCCCCCCTTCCACTTAATACTGTGTTTGTCTGAAGTGAAAATAACTAAATCCTGAGAATAATCCAATCGAACCATGTGACACTATTAGAATACAACAAAAGCATTCCCATGCTGGCAGTCACATGCAAATTGTTTCATCCTTAAACTAAATTGGCAAACTTGGAATATTCCTCTCCACCTATTCCAAACTCATATTCTTAAGACTGATTTTCTCTTCCCCCACTCCATCATCCTCTTTAAAAATCTGAATAATTGCATTTTGATTCATTGGTAGATGTTTATTTGTGCAACTCATTGCCGTAAGGGGTGCGTGGCAAAGGTTTCTAATGTCTAAGTGCTGAATATATACATTGCCTTGTTTTAACATCTACTGAAATCATTTGGTAATAGCGTGTTATGGAAGACTGAGAGCATAACAGAAAATCAAGTGCTGCTTCTTCAAAAAACCCTTGAATGGGGGTTTTATCCTTGCTGTAAAAAAAGGCAAGTGGCATAACAATACACCCTTACACAATATACCAATGGCTGTCTCCAGTGTAAGAGGAAAACCAAATAGGAATATGTCCAACTGTAACCCTTGTTGCATATGCACTGCTTGTGATTTGATTAATGTAATATTGACATATTGCATGGAAGTATTATAGAAGTCCTTAAAAATCTCGGGTTTCTCTCGTTTTCAAGATGGTATTTTAGTATTATTAAGATTAAAAACAACCGGAGCTTATCTGCATAGTGGTCGATTCAGTTTTCCATCAAAACTGGTGACTGAATTAGTGCAAAAAACTTTCACTATGTGCAATTTTCGTGTGTTTTAGTTGACAATACAATATTCAGCTCTACTTTTTCAAGTGAGTTTATTACCTATGGCAAACTTGGTTAACAAAACAAAGAAAACAACACATAAGAAAACGTTCAGACAACCCAAATAGCATTGTTTGTATAAAAAGTTTCTTTCCTTTCTACCTTCCTCCCCCCTCCCTCAGATTGCCAGAAATATGAAATATGCATCTGGTAATGTAACGCTTAATAAAAAGTATTGCTACTTAAGAGAAATGTAAGAGTCAAGCATACTCTATTTGTATGCATTTGACTATCAGCTTTCTAATGCTTCCTAGTTATTGTTTTATTGGTAGCAGGTATATGTGTCCTCTCAAACTTCCAAATAATTTTATAAAAAGTTAGAAAAATATACTCAATATTTTTTTGCATAACTTTCCTATATTCATCCTAACATACATGAATCTTACAAAACGGTTTAGAATAACTTATTAGCTGTAAAAATACCAACAACTGTGCAGCACCTCGAGACAGACCTTGGTGAGAACGTACAATCCAGTATTAGGTGATCCTGAAGATGTTTTTCTTCAGGTTTACAGCTATGTATTTTCGCAAGTAAACCCAATAAATATTCAGTACCATGTTCATAGGAGCATCCATGGAAACCTAGACCTTTTTTGATTTCCTGCTAAAATCTGAAGAAGAGCTGGTGATGAGAAAAGTAAATGACAGTCCGATGCACTAAGTACGACAGAACAAACTCCATGTTTAATTGTCACCAAGTTATTCCGTAGCCAGCTGATAAGTGTGTGATTTTTTAAACTTTCCTTCAAGAGCAAAAAAAAAAAATATTTCTGAAATAATATTTGGATGATGTTTTATAAATGCTGTTTATGATCCAGTTAAGCAATGACATCGTGGGTATCACTGTTGGGTCTTTGGCGTAGAGTCAGTGGGGGCAAAGGCTTTCCATAGAAATCTGTATAAGAAACAGCAGAGGAAAAAAAAACCACATTAACCTGTCATTTATTCTCTCTCTTGCTTAAAGGGTGTTTAAATAAGGTAAATTCTTGCTTTCTTAATGAAAACAAGGTGACCTGCAATTTTACAGCTAATTCCTACCAGCAACTTTCAGACATTGTGCTGGTTAATGTCTGGAGGTATACTGGCCAAAACAGGGTTTGATTACATTTTGAATACATGCATCAGCATTTTCAAGATCAAGCCCAAAGGTGACCTGTAAACATTCCTAAAAATAGGAAATGACATCCAAAGTGTCTAAGTAACAAATGAAGAAATGAGGTATCAAAATTTGGATGTTGCCGTAGTCAAGTCTGCATTGCAATGAAGTTTTAAGTGACAGTAACGCTATGCAGCACCCAGAGTTTAGGGTGAGCATCTGTCTGGAAAAGCCATAATAACTTTCTGAAATAGCTATATTAAGAATTTTTAGATAAAAGTGCAATGTTTCCTTTTCTCTATAAAGGAGTTTAAAGTAGTGAAATCATTCAAGACAAAGTTATTAAACGCACCAGAAGAGAATAAGGAGTATTCTCATACATTTGTGATTGATCTAAGAGTGAAAAAATCCCAGCATGCACACTGGTACATGCAAGCATTTCACAAGCAAAATAGTATCATGAAAGATGGTAAGAGGAAACAGGTAGAAATCAAGAAAATACAAAAGCAGCTTTTTGAAGCATTCAAATCTCAATTTTGCTTATACAGACAACCTCCTCCCTAACAAAGCCTTGACGGCCTGCCAACACAAAATCCCAAACCAAATGGTTATAGTGTAAATGAAAACTTGCACAATGGATGTTTGATTAGTCAGTTTCTTGAAGGCTGGCTTTAGGACTGGCAGGCAATTTTACCTCTTATAATGAGAGAGGTTTATCATTCTTGCAAATATATCCTCCAGTGACAATAAACAGACACTCGTTACCCAGTGTTGTGCTAAAATCATTAGCATGACTGGAAAAATTGCAGTCTTTAGTGAAAATAAGTGTATAATTAAAGATTTCTCTAATTGACTCCACTGCCTGCTAACTCTGCCTAAACATCCAACATAATGTTCTCTGCTAAGAATGACAAAAAACCGAATTAATATATGTACTAAATAGCCTTGTATATGTACTAAAAACACTTGACTTTTTCAGTTTGCACATTAAATCACTAAGACAGATTTATGCCTCTGAAAACACCTAGCATTAAAACCCAGCCCTTTGGAGGTTGTTTTAACCTCACACACTGCACTAATTTACACATTTCAGCAGCAAGGTCTAAGTCATATTTGTGACACTTCCAAAAAATCATATTTAAGACAAAACCAAAGGAATAAGTGCTATCCTGACTGAAAAAGACCCAGGCTAGAATTCATGGGAATACTGAGAAACACCTATTCCCATGTGTTTCTATGGACTAGCAGAAATCAACACTGCAAAAAGTCCTATCTGTTTTGAAGCTTCAGGGGTTGACTTACATTGGGGAGCTATCAACTGTTTCACTGATACAATCTGGGACATAGACTTTGAGAGTACTCCTGAAAATAACCTCTATGCATAACCAAGGCTCCTTAACCTTTTAAAAGCAGACTGTTAAATACTTCTTTTCTTTCCTTGCTCTTATGGACACTTCTTACAATTTTATTTGGAGTCCTGACAAAAATATCTACTGGGCATCCTACTGGAACTGAGTTTTTCAGCCTGGTCTACATGAAGGTAGGTGCTCATTTGCCCCATATACAAAGACTTTTTAACCACTTGGCCAATAACCGTCAAAGCAATTCTTCAACAGAATGATAGTATTGCTGTAGAAAAAAGTGCACTTCAGAGAATCAAAAAAAAAACCACTCCAAATTTCATCTGCTCTCAACAGTTATAGAGATAATCAAGAGATTATTTCCCTACCAACATCTTCTCCATCATTAGATTCCAAAATATTCCAATTATTACCCTTATTTTACGAATGGACTACATTAACACAGATCTCAGGTTGCTAACTTACACATCTGTGAGTAGGGAACCTAGCTTAAGCATTGGGGGTTTTTTCCCTCTTTGTCCCACCCATGCTATTGCTACAAAAGGTAACACCTCCCTTAGGCACAGATCAAAACAGAGTACCACCTCTTCCCTTTCTCCCCCTCCCTACCTCTTTGTCTGGCTTTTCTTTCTTGCCGCCTTCTCTCTATATGCCTTTAAAAAAGAAGACCAAGATGATTTTATGATTAAGACTATAAATTACATTTTATGCACTTTCATTATGTTTCTGCAAAAAATAAATATCTAGGGTTTAGAGATCTTAACTCCCCCTTAGGGCTCTTTTGATTCTTTGGCAGAGAAACTCCATGTTCCTCAGAACTTTAGCAGGTATGTCCACATGGTGCTGTACTACATGACAGCAGTGCTATCAATTCAAGCCAGAATTAAGCTCAAGGATCACTACAGCCACACTGAGCTCCTTTCTCTGTGAGTTCCTCAATTAATGTTCTATTTGTTCAACTTGTGTAAGTGTTCTCATTGCTTTAGTTTGGTTACCCTCCTCTCCTATTCCTCCAGATGTCTCCATATTCACTTGGCTTTTCAAAATTTGAAGAATAAAAATAAAAGAAAAATGAAGACATTACCATCCAAAAATGAGAAAAAGATGGAATATGAGCATATAAAAAACAATGACCGTACAAAAAAAAACTATGTTACATGGTCTTTCAAAACCAGAAAATAGTTATTATTGAAGAGAGAAATCATGACTCTGCCTACTACACCTTACCATTTCCAGTTATTAAACTCATTTCTCCTACCAGCTTGTGAAATTTCAAGGACATTCTTCTTTAGGTAAAGCAGCAGATTCCAAGCTTTATCACTAACACCTGCCCTGGCAGGCCAATAACCTAGTTTTCAGCTGGAAGTCTCATTACTTTCACCATCAAATTTATGTTGGGCTTTTCCTCATAGCTGGGATTGCAGTCCCTCTTTTGGCCTAGCTATCATAATGCATTTAATTCAGAGATGCCCACATGTCTTTATCCTTCCTTCTCTCAAGAAAACACCCCCAAATCAATGACAAAATTCTTACAGACTATGCTTTTAAAATCACATGGAAACCATAGTGTTGGGTAGCAGAAATTTTGGACTATCTCAAGAGGCAACACAAGGAGTCAGCTTACACACAGCAAATTCATCTGGATGTGGGGCTATGCTTCAAAGAACTACAGAAATACATGGAGCACATTTGGGTTCAGCACTGGAAAGTGATTAGCCCTTCCAGATCAGATCATAAGATCAGCGTGGAAACAAACAGGCAGCTTAGTGCAGGATCAGCCTGGATGTGGACGAGCCACTATAGATGCCAAATTAATAAGCCCCGCTGCATCTCTGCAGTTCTGCTTAGGTCTTTCTGCAGTGCCACAGACCTTTTCCAGTATCCAGGTAACCCAGCTCCTGTGCTCATGGCATCAGGTAATGATGAACTGCCCACATAAGGACAATGGAAAAACACACTGAAATTTTCATTTTGAATGTAATGTGTGCTTGGACTCAAAGTAACCGGCCCTGTTGCTTTTTGCTATATGGCACATTATAACATTAGGTAAATGCTGCTGTGCAAATCACTTCAGGTCATTAATAGGTTCTGCTGCCTGTGCCGCTTTAAACTCTCTATGTGAATCTTTATGAGAGAACTAACCCTTTTTAGTAAAAAAAAAAATAAATAAGATTTGAAAAATCAAAAAGATGCTTTCTACTAAGCAAAAAAGGTTAGCTTTTGGTCAATGAAAATTGGCACTAAGAAATAAATATAAAAATAAAAAGAGATGAAGAATGAAATTAATGTAGAAGTGAATAAAACAATGGAAAATGCTTCAAAAAGGTACAAAATCCAAAATATTTTCAATTACCAGCATGATGTGTTTCACCAAGAGGCTCAAGTTTTCGAAGTCTATTAAGTTTGGGAGTTCCCCAGCCAACTAAAGGAAAACAAAGACAGTCAAAACATGGCACGACTGCACTTGATTCTGACAAAATGTATGGAAGCCAATTCTCTTTGGGAGAAATGAAAGCATTTAGAAATGCCAGAAGTATGTAATATATTGTATATACAGTGAATAATGATGAAATACTTTAAAAATAAACTGATTTACCCTTAAAATACTGATATTTTTATCACTTTTCATCAGTGAGTAGTCAAGTCTCTGACTTTTTTTATGGTGAAAATAACAACATCTTCCTGCGTGGAGTAGATCAAACCAATAGTGCTGAAAGTCTATACCATGAAGTGGAAAACTGCATCAAAAATTTCCGAGAGAGTAAGGTACAGTAGCGTATCTCTGAAGACCATTCCAGTTTCATCATGCGCATGTGAGTATTTTAAAGGATTAATAACCACAAACTGAGACACTGATTATTGTTTGTTAGTATACTTACCCGGTGGAAGAGTTGGTGGTGGTGTAGGATTTTTGGGAACAGCATCCTCTGTATTAACAGGTTCTACTCTGTGGCCCCTTTTTAATTTTGGTTTTTTACTTTTTTTCTTGCTGTTTTCTGTACCAAACAGAAATAAAGCATTACATACCACAAATTATATTCATAGACTATCCTAGATCAACTTCTAATCCAGTTGTTGCAATGAGATACATCAGCATTTTCATTCCACACTTATAGAATCATAGAATCATAGAATGGTTAGGGTTGGAAAAGACCTTAAGATCACCCAGTTCCAACCCCCCTGCCATGAGCAGGGACACCACCCACTAAACCATATCACCCAAGGCCTCATCCAACCTGGTCTTGAACACTGCCAGGGATGGAGCATTCACAACCTCCCTGGGCAACCCATTCCAATGCCTCACCACCCTAACAGGAAAGAACTTCTTCCTTATATCCAATTTAAACTTCCCCTGTTTAAGTTTTAACCCATTACCCCTTGTCCCATCACTACAGTCCCTAATGAAGAGTCCCTCCCCAGCATCCCTATAGGCCCCCTTCAGATACTGGAAGGCTGCTATGAGGTCTATACACAAAATGTGAAATGTACAATTTATAAAACATTTTGCTATAGAAAATAAATTGTAAGCATAAAATATATGCAAACTCTCTGCTTTCATAAAGGAATTTGAATCATCTTGGTACTGATGGAATGTGGACCACGGACCGGGTTGGACAAGGCCTTGGGTGATATGGCTTAGTGTGAGGTGTCCCTGCTCATGGCAGGGGCATTGGAACTAGATGATCTTAAGGTCCTTTCCAACCCTAACTATTCTATGATTCTATGATGAAAACGAATGTCGTTTCAGCTACAGTATCAGTCACACCAACAACCACGTGCTTTTTCAAAGCAGATTTTCCAATACAATAACCTAATAGTGCATTTTTATGTTTTCAGTAGATTAAACTGATATATGGCATCATGAAAAATAATACAGACAGACGGAGGAACTATGAGATAAATAATATTAAATGACACATTAAAAGGAAGCGGTTCACCTGAGTCAAGGCATTCTGAGGCTTGCTGCTCGTTCTCTGCTTCATGCTGCAAAAGCTGTGCAGTTGTAGAATTGCACGCTTCTAATCTACTGTCATCTGTGTTTTGGCTACTGCTATTTGATAAGTGATGGCCATCCATTTGTTCCTGTTCTGTTTGAGATTTCAGGGCAGTTGTAGCCTTTTCAGTCTCCAACCTTTGCCGCTTCTTTTCCTTTTCAATTTGCTTTTCATTCTAACAAAAAGCAGAAGAATCTTTTTAACAACTTGCAATGCTGTAACCTGATTAATAAGACAGGAAGACTATTTAAAAAAATCAAAATAGTCCTAAAATATTTTTCTGTTCTATCCCACATCTATAAAAGACAAAATATTAGCAGGAAAAGAAATTATGTTTAGGTTTATAGACTGTTTTCCTGCTTTCTTTTTGGTCATATGACAAGATAAAATAAGCTAGCTAAGCAAAAAACATCAACATTCCTGAGCAGAAGGTTAGAAGCCTCATAATTTCTTCCTTATTTTAGTGACGTGTTGGATTGTGGTTTTAGTTAAAACAAAATACACATGCACAGAGCTTAAGTACGCAGAAATCGCTACCGTGATTTGGACAAACACCAATTGTGTCACACAGACTCAATGATAAGCTGCTTCACAGCTTCAATATCACTGAATCAATGTCTCTACAATACTCGCAGATATACCCTTCTTTTCTTAGGCTGTACGTTACTATAAGTTGGGTTACTGTGCATGCAGCTGACTTTACAAGGTACATGGATACGGTCGCTTTTGTCCTCGAGAGAAACAAGTGTTTGAACTACTGACTGGAAAAATTCCTGAGAGTTTATGTGTTTCTTGAGATTACGTTATCTCAAGTCAACGGAATAAAATACAGTGTAGTAAAGAAGAACTTCCTGACCCCAGAAATACCTATTAAAGCACTTTGTATATTAATATACTTTTAATGTGTCAGAGCTAAGCAAACATCTCAATTGTCTGTTTTCAACAGAAACCAGGTTATGCTCAGATTATCTCAATAGTAGAAGTAGTCAGGGAGATTTTATATGACTCACTACATCACTAAAACACTTTCCAAGAAACTAATAGACCTTGAATATTTTCCACCTCTGAGTACCTATTAATTAGGAAACGTGTTCAGTCAGCTGTTTACAATACCTTTATTTTACCGAGCCTACAAAACTTTTTGTCACCATATCAGTAGCAGGGGACTTTGTTAACATGAAAGCATTGATTCAACGCACATCAAACAAGACTGACGAGACTGAGATGAGAACAATTCTTTTAAGTGAACTATTTTTGTCATTACCTCTCAGACATTTGTTAGTGGTAGGTCTAAACCGATCCAGATTTCCACATATTCTCATACCTCAGAGATTACAGCAGATATAGGCTGGAAGGGGTTTTGAGAGTTCCCAGGCTCGGGGTCTTCCTCATCAGGTACACTTCTTCCTTCTTCTCTTTCCCTTTATCGTTGTTTTGGGGTTTATGTTGTTGTCGTTTTGGGGTTTTTGGGGGGCAGGCGTGGGGAGGAAAAGGGGAGATGAACAAAGAATTATGAAGAAGCCAGGCTGTTTTACATACTTCTTAGGTCATCTAACTCGCCCTCCGATTTGTGCCAGCTGGTTTTTACAACATGCTTCTGTATTGTGAAAAGCATTCTACAGAAATCACAATGGCAGGCTAACCAGGGGCTAACATCAATAAAGCACGAGTATATGTTACAGCAGCGGTAGAAACACACGCTGCAGTGTGCCAGAATGTTCAATCAGCACTTGAGAGTGTAGCAGCAGTTCCTGAGGACAAGATACGTGACAGAATACATCTGTAACTGGAAGGTTTTGATTGTTCAACACTATGCTGAGATTTTCACACTAGTAATCTTTTATAACCATTGTTTCAAGGTTTTCAGTTGTTTGGGGTATTTTTGGTTTGGATTTTATGTTCAAATCTATGTGGTGGGAAACCAGACTAAAACCTGTTATTCTGTTTTCAAAACACCTCCATAATTTCTCATAGCTCTAGATTCTAATAAGCAGAAAGGAGAACTTGTACCAGACTGTTCAGTTTATGTAGTAACAGTTAGGAAATCATATTTGCTAGAAAAACTCAGTATGCTCAGTAAGCTTTAAACCCTAGATAGCTTGGTTCCCATAAGCTCTATGCATAGGAGTGAATCAAGTATCTTAGAGAAAGGGAGGAAGAGGAGGTAGGAGAAATTGCAGAGAGAATACCTTTCTTCTCGTATCCTTCTCACTCGCTCAGCTCTTTCTAGTTTCTTTTGTTCTTCATATGCTTTTTGTTCCGTAGTGTCTCTTTGGATGCGCTCGTTTAAGGCATCAAAATCTTTTGCTATGATATGTAGAAGCCAATATAAACCCTTTTTGATTGATTTATCGATTTTTTTCCCACAGCCCATGATGGCTGAGCAAGGTTCCTGTAAAAACATAAGGAAAGGAGAAGAAAATCATACGCAGTTCCGATCGCACTCCTTGATTATAAACCAAGAAATCAGACGCACAGTTATTGTTCACTGTGAAGCTTGCAAAACCCTGAGAAGCATGGGAAGTGAATTTGTATTTAGGGATTCTAAGTTTAGGTGCTTATTTTTTGCCAAGACACAGATCACATTAGTTCCACCAATTTCCATTCTTTCCAGTCTCATTTCAAAAATACTACAGTACTGCACACAAAAATGTTTGCATGTCTATCTCTGAACCTCATAGCAGCCTTCCAGTATCTGAAGGGGGCTATAGGGATGCTGGGGAGGGACTCTTCATTAGGGACTGTAGTGACAGGACAAGGGGTAATGGGTTAAAACTTAAACAGGGGAAGTTTAGATTGGATATATGGAAGAAGTTCTTTACTGTAAGGGTGGTGAGGCACTGGAATGGGTTGCCCAGGGAAGTTGTGAATGCTCCATCCCTGGCAGTGTTCAAGGCCAGGTTGGACAGAGCCTTGCATGACATGGTTTAGTGTGAGGTGTCCCTGCCCATGGCAGGGGGGTTGGAACTGGATGATCTTAAGGTCCTTTCCAACCCTAACTATTCTATGATTCTATATATATATACTTGTTACATATAGACATAGCTGTTACATATACACATGCTATATACATATTTTCACACCTGGTTCCCTACACGTCTACATCTATGCATCTATCTAGAAATATAATTTATCGACCCCAAATATATATGTTCTGTTTTGCTGCTCATTTATAAATAGTCCATGTTATATTTATCTAGTAAAATGGAAAAAATGAGATTCAAGAGAATCAGCTCAGCTTCGGTTCATGAAAGAAATTTTCGACTTGTTCATAGGCACCTAAGGGATAAATAAAATCCAGTGTGAATGGTTCAGAAAAGCTGTGACACCAATTTGGTGTTTTTAGATCAGAACAGGTATTGTGGACAGGGGTGAAGCAAAATATTATGCATCATGACTGGAGTAAAACTATTGTCATGATATTCATGGTTTAATATTTTGGGGGAAATTTAAAGATCCAGAAGAAAACTAAAAGAATAACAAAAAACAGAAGGGGTTTTTGGTCCTTAACTGATTTTATTTCAATGTTCTTTCACAACTCCCCTGTTTAAATTCACCCCATGAGTCATCATACTGAAATAACTTGGGGCCACGTTTACCTTTAATGCTCCTGGTAAAGACACTGCCCATTTGAGTATGTGAGACTCTCAGCTGCTTTCAGCTAAAATGACTTGGAGCATGTGATCTAGTTTCTTTGTTCATTACACCCAAGATATAAATGGAGGACAAGAACAGCATTTCATTGGAACATGTCATAAATTAAGAAGATCTAAGTTCCGGGAAGCACACAAGAATCTTTCAGGTCTTTTATATGGATAATGCTTTGCAAGAAAACATTAGTGTCACAGAAGTGCCTTGGAAAAAATAAAGGCAAACTCACAAGGTTTGTTTTTATGACTGCTACATAAGCATAACGCAAAGGCCACTGACTGAGGAAAAGCACGCAGAGCGTTATGACATAATGAACGTAGCTGTGCCCTGCTGTAACTCAGCTTTCTAGAGAAAATAATAGCAATATGCATTGCCCTGTGAATTTTGCAACTCTCCTTAAGGAGTTAAAAGTATTTTTAAAATGCTAAAACCCCAATACCAGGGCTAGTTGTGCAAAACTGCCTTCTCATTTTGAGTAGTAACAGCAAAACCCTTGTTACCTCTTAAAATGTTTCTTATTGCCATTAGAAGAGGATCAGTAAAGGAACGCCAACAAGTAATTACTAACAAACTGGTTCATTCAAACGACGGCTTAAAGAAAACCTCAGGGACTAAGAATTCACACAAGTTATTTGAAATATTGACCAATATCAAGTAGCTTTCATACAGATCCTCCCATCCCTTTGTTATTACTTTGGGTTTTTTTTTCCAACATGACTGTGAATGCTACATCTGAAACGTAGGTATTTTAGGACAAATACATAGCAACCAGCTCTACCACTGTTCTTTGGTGACTATTGCGCTGGGAATTAGATGCCCTCGGAATCAGATTAAGCTTGTAGTGTTTGCCAGATGGTGACTCAGACTAAATGATGGTTTTAGCTATGAAAATGAGACACATATCATATCTGAACAGTGATCCTTCCTGGATGTCAACATAGGCAAATTCCATTCCCTGCTTCTTTTTAAAAGGGTGGAATACAAAACTTTTTTGTCCAATTAAAGAAGTTTGAAACCACATCAATAACTAATTATTCTTACATGGTTTCAAAATGGACCAACAGGTACACTTTTAGGATCCCTGTCCTAAAGATTTCTTCAACAGATAGAGAAGCAGAGCAACAAGGTGAGCAGAGAATTGCCTGCAGAGCAGATATATGTACTGTATCTTTGCTGGGATTGCAGGGCTTTAGTTTCAGTCTTATGTGACATATTCTCCTACCTTATTGCAAGATGTACATATATATTAGAAAACAAATAATCTTAAAATATACTTACAATTTGACATAGACACTTGTGTTCATTGACAAGCTTTTCCAGAGATAAGGACTCGATTACATCTGCTTCTGACAGAGCTCCTTCTCTATCCTGCTTATTTGCCAACCTAAGGAAAAGACCAAAAGAAACACTTTGCACCCTGACACGAAAAAGATTCCCAGATCTCCAGTAGCTAAGTTTTTGACAAAAGCAAGAAGGGGAAGAAGGAGAAAGTAATGAGAAAATGCCTTGTTTCAGCTTTAACTCTTAATTCTTCTTTCTACTTAATAAAGAAGTTAGTCCATGCACTATTTTCAGCCAATACTAACATTAACTAGAAGATACTTAATATACAAAGCAATAATATTTTACACCTAAGTAGATGGATGTAAAAGACTGCACTGTTCTACATAAGCTACACAGGACAATCTGCTGTAGTCTGTAGATCAAAGCACCCAACTTTGCAACTTCCCAAACCATGCACATTTCCCCCCCCCCCCCATAATACTGCTCCATGATCACCTTGGGTCTGCCTATCCAGAATTTCTCTCTGATGCCAAACAATTTGATATGTAATGTGCAGTGATTTGAACCTGCTCATCACAAGTAAAAGAAAGCGCAGAGGGAGGAGCTTGTATGAATGGCTCTTGAAAACATGCTTTATTATTTCATATTAAATAGAGGGAAGCAAGAAAAAAAAAGGTGAATGAAACACATAGCTTACAAAATAAGCATCCTGTAAGATGAAGTGCTATCATTGTCTTATTTCTTATAGATAAGGTGGCAAAGAAGACTCGAGAAGATAAACATCTTAAGTTCGGGGGGGGACTGCTTTTTCCCATATCCTCTGTAACTGCATCCAACACCACAGCCAAAAACGTGTATTTTTGGAAAAGGCACAAACCAGATCTTATTTACCAAAGAATGTTAGTCATTATTTCACCCTTTAATGTGGACATACACCCTGAAGCAGAGGCTGTAACCAGATCTTATTTACCAAAGAATGTTAGTTATTATTTCACCCTTTAATGTGGACATACACCCTGAAGCAGAGGCTGTTATGGTCCTTTCAACACTCTTATCAATAACTACTACAAAGATAAAAGGGCTGTCCAGATTTATAAACATCCCAAATGCTTAAGTTCTTCACTTCCACAAACTCTTGGTGATACCATGTTCTAACCACAGAAATGAAAGTTACTTCCTTTTATCAAGGCTAACTTAATGCTCCACTGAAAACTCCTCTCTCTATTAAATCACAAAATCACAGAACCATAGAATAGTTAGGGTTGGAAAGGACCTTAAGATCATCAAGTTCCACCCCCCTTGCCATGGGCAGGGACACCTCACACTGGGAAAGCTTCTGATCTACAGCCCTAAAAGGTACGTGACAAACTACGCGCACAAAAAAGCAAGAGTTACTTCTAACACCTGTATGGAACCACCTCTCACAGAGAGGCAAAACCTTTTCCCTTATGGGGGTTTTTCTCAGCCATCCAAGTAATTGTTTCCATGAAACTCACAGGACTTGATTCTCCTCAAGATCTCAATTTATTGATGAAAATGGATTTAAACTGGTCGACACCGAGGAAGGCAGGAGGGATTAAAAAGGTGAGTTTACCTAAGTATTTAGGAATGTGTTAGGCAAGTAGATGTATTCCCTAAGAAGAAACTTAACCAAGTAAACTTGCAGTCACGTTGGTCAATGACTTTCAGAGTTCACTTACAAGCAAATTTTAATAACAAATGGAGAAATTTTGATAGAAATCCAAAATATACATTTTAAACAAAATGACAAAAAAAACCCCACATATAGGAAGTATTTCCTGTTTCTTGAGGGTCTGAGAGGTCAAGTCAAAAAACAGTTGCTCCCTTCCTCCATAAAACCTCTTTGGGACAATAGGACATATAGTCTTTCCTCTCCTCTTACCTGCTTTTAATTGAGTATGAAAAGATATTAAGTGGTATTTTACGAGCAGCATACTCCTGTTTGAAGTTACTATTTTTCACCATGAAAACTGGGAGTTTTTGCTTCTAACCAGTGTACACCATTCTGGAATATAAGCACACAATGCAGTCTTACTTTGCACCTTCTACAACAGTAATAACCCAAGCAAAGTGCGAAAGCTGTAAAAAGGAGTATTGCATAGCATGAGGGAATCTGAAAATCACACTTGCCTCTCTCTAATAAGGGAAGTCCATTAGATGAATGTTGTTCTGAAATGTAGCAACCCTTCCATTCCATGAGAACTTTCTGCATAAAATCACAAATATTTGGCTCCTATGAACACCACAGCAGATGGTTTTGAAACCAGACATCACAGCCTTTATTCTGACATCTCAAGTCATCATTATTAACTCAAATGGCTCTCCTCTCCACCCCTCCTTTGATACTCCATTCCCACTTCTCAACAAAAAGAGGGTTTCTACAATACTTTGTATGATTCAGTGCAAAGATTCCTTAACTGTTGTTCAATGCGTATACAGAACCTATGACACTTTCAATATGCTTATGATACTCCAGCACTACCCCTTCTCACCAACCGGCTAGAACAAGTAATATCCTCTCAGCACTCAGCTATGAAATAGGGCCAAAGCTAAAGCAGGGAAAAACTGAAATGAAATTCCAGAAAGCTATGGAAAGTAATTAAAAGTTTGGAAACAATGACCTCCGCTCTTTGTTTCCCCTATAACCACCTTTGTTACAGTCTGAAAATGCCATGGCACTGCCCCTTAGTTTCAGACATGGCTCTTCAGCAGTGCTGTCAATGCACCTAGATCTAATTGAAGAACATACTTCTGAACGCAGTTTGTTGCTATGGTCTATTCCCTTCTCAGCTGAAGATTCTGTAACTGCGCTATTTACTGTGTTATTGCCCTGCATATTGTACAAAGCACAGCTGAAGCAGAATGAAACGTTGGTAAGCTGCATAGCTCACCAAGAGTGTGACGCTGATGTCTTGTGATGTGCAGTAGCTGCTGATTTTTGACATCTAATACCTTGAGAGGTGTAAGATTTGCTTTTTTGGTCAATTAGCTTCCATTTTCTCCACAGCAGTCCTGTTGCAATATTGACTGAATTAAAACAAGTAACAGCTGAGGTGCTGTATCTGGAAAAGCAGCATACCCAAATAGCCACCTCCACCTTACATAGGTCATACATTCCCTGCTGTACACCACTGCCCACTTCAGCCTTTAGGTCTAATGTATAAATGGAGTTTAAATAAGGTACTGTGATAAAAGGCATTGTTTTGCTACTGTTTTTTTACCTTTTTGAGTAAATGCATTAATACATCCGTGACCCACCCTTGCTTCCTTTCTTTCCCCTTCATGCTTTAGTGTGGAAGAAAGCAATCCCTGCCCTTACACTTGTCCTTCCCGAGCAGTGCTCCACTTCCAGCTTACAAGGCCTCTATCTAGGGAGCTGCTCCTAGACACTTCCTGCTACTGGGCAGCTCCAGGAGTGATCCGCCTCTCAGCAAGGCTGGGTTTCAAACAGGCAGAACCAGATTCCCCAAGTAGCAAGTAATCAATTTGCCTGTCTAGTGCAGTTGCAGAAGTCAGTTTCTCTCGCACCACTGCTGCTGAAGATGAACCCTTGGACAACTATATAAAGAGCTAGAAGCGGAAGGCATGCAGAAAAGACTTAATGGAATGCCACTCTTAGACGCATTGCTTAGGCAAACATTCAAAACAATGTTTTTCAGATTATACTGAAGTTTAACCTCAGGAGCTCCTCTGTAAAGGATAAACCAGAAAGCCACCAGCACAGGATTAAAAGGTAAGGACTTTCCTTTTACTTAATGTTTATAAAGTTGCAAATATCAGAAACAGACTGTGTAGTGTGTGGTTTAGAATGGAAATGTGCCTAAGTGTCAAGACAAACAAATAATGGATGTCTACCATGCAAAGAACAGAGTATCTCTCGGAGTGAACAGAGTCTCAGAGCTCTGCTGCTCATGCACAGGAATGCCAGGTTTTGAGGCAAGTTTTATGCATCAGACTTTCTCCTTTAGTGTGAGTTACCCTAAAGGACAGACCTTGATTTTAATTTTCCGAGTCAGTAGAACTTCATATATAGCAATTTTTCATGTTGAAAAAACTGTAGGCAGTATATACCAAAACACACTTGAAAGCACAGGAGAGTGGCTGTTGGTTTACCACATTAAGTTTGCTGAGTAAGAAGCTTTCGCATATAAAATCACGCTTGGGTTTATTTCAATCTCACATAAAGCATATCTGGAACCTTTTTAGCGTAACAAACTTACTTTACACCAGAAATAAAGCAAAGGTAGGCACCAATTGCTTTTATATCGAGTGGGATTTTTTTAAGCAGCTAGAGAGCTTTTGTTAAGAGTCATGGGAAACATTGTGGAAAGGGAGTGTATGTGTGCATTGGCACAACTGACATCTACAGTTCCGCAACAATATTTCTCTCTGAAGCCAGAAGACATGCCAGAGAAAAAGAGAGTCTGAACGCAAACTATGCATGTGCCTTGATCTGCTTCTAAAACATAAATTACTGAGCAAAGAGGGAATATTCGGGAACAACAACAATAAATCAGCATTAAAGTCTACTTTACAAACCACAAGATTTGGTGACAAAAAAAAAAATCCAATGTCAAACGGACACATTTGTATCTCAGCTTCCATTAAAAATCCCAGAAATGTTACAGGCAGGGTTTATTTGGGAAGAAGGTATTCTGTGTGAGGGTACGCGCCCATGCCTGTGTTTGCTTTCTTGCTTTGCAGATTAGGAGGGGTTTTTGAAACACTCTTTCCAACTTACACATTTCTGTCCACTTGTGTGGGATTCTTATACAGTAACATAACACTGAACTCTAAATACTGCCGAGGGTACACAGTGGGGGGGGAGAGGGTTATCAGGGTCTCAGAAATGCTGCTTTTAGGGTTGTTTAACAAGAGCTGGTTATCACAAACCCATAGTTTGGGGTCAAACCTGTATGGTGGCCATCAGAATAAATGAAAAACAAAGCATCCCTGAGGTTAAAATATTACAGTATCAGAACTATCAACATGATTAAAAGCAACTTTAGGAAAAGGTGTGTTTAATGAGAATTATTTATCTAAGATCAAGTGTAGTCATCTTTAAGGCTACTCCAAGAA